ATAAGGCAGTAAGATACTTGTTTTATAGAGGAAGATTTTGAGCCAAAGAGAAGTGGCTTATCCAAGAACAAATAGCTATTGGGCTATTGGTTATAGAGCTAGGACTTCTGAGTCAAAACACTTTCCATAATGGCAAGCTAATTCTAATTATTATTATTATTTTTTTAAGGTTTATTTACTTTTGATAGAGAGGGACAGAGTGTGAGCTCGGGGTGGTTGCAGAGAAAGAAGGAGATACAGAATCCGAAGCAGGCTCCAGACTCTGAGCTATCAGCACAGATCCCAATGCAGGGCTCAAACCCATAAACCGTGAGATCATAACCTGAGCTGAAGTTGGATGCTTAACCACCCAGGTGCCCCTGGCAATCTAATTCTAATTTACTAAGCTATAATGCCCTGAATTCATGACTCATTCATCTTACTGTTTTTTCTTCAAGTACATACTTAATGAAAAGTGTATAGAACGTACAAATTTGAAGTATATGGGGTAATTCCAAGTTTTGGTAGTTGCTCTGATATTATTTGAAATACTCTAAGAATTTGATATATTTGGTAAATGTTTTTCATATCAGTATTACAATAGTAATATTATTTATCACCCTTTTTTATACATAGCAATTACGAAATAATTTGCAGACATAAAGAAGAAATCATGCTTAAAAATTCTTTGCAAAATAGCAATCCAGGTAAGACTTTACATAGTGAATTGCTCTTGGTCCTAACATAGGTAAAGTCAGAATTAGGAAGTTTTGATAATGAAAGAACAATGAAGAAAAAAACACCAGTGTGTAAATTGCATGTGTATTGTTTTCTTTCTTAATTTCTTTCTTTATAGTCTAATGTTCAGAATTATTTAAGAAGTTAACTATAGGTAATTGAAAATATGAGGCTGTATTATCTGAAAAGAAATTCATTATTTTAGTCATGACCCCTAAAATACCATATGATATCTTTGTGTAAATAAGAAAAACCTATTTTAAAAAAATATTTATTTAATTTTGAGAGAGAAAGAGAGAGAGAGTGAGCAGGAGGGAGGCAGAGGGAGGTAGACAGAGGGTCCAAAGCAGGTTCCACCACTGATAGCAGAGAGCCCAATGTGGGGCTTGAGCTCATGAGCTGTGAGATCATGACCTGAGGCAAGGCCAGATGCTTAACGAACTGAGCCACCCAGGTGCCCAAAGAGAAAAGATTTTTAAGTTAGTATCTTTTATGTTTCCTCCATAAACATATTGTAACAAATGGCACTTGCTATAAAAATGGATGTTTTATATAATGTTTACAAATGGATTATATTTAGTAAATATTATTACCTAGTGATTTGTCTCTTTAAAAAATGAACCATTCTTTAAAACTGGGAATTCTACAGTACTTTTCTGGTACTGTAAACAAATGGCAAATAATAAGAACTGCAAAACTTAGCTAGTGTGCAACAATGCCAGTGAAATTGTTTTTTACAGATAGCTGCCAATAGTACAGAAGAAAAGCAATGCCTTGTTGAGAAGCATAGGTTATTTCACATTTTGTGTCATCAAGGTCTCACCATTATCAACTTCATTCTGCAAATCAAAACAATGAGAGGGGCGCTTGGTTGGCTGCGTCGGTTAAGTGTCCAACTCTTGATTTCAGCTCAGGTCATCATCTCACAGTTGGTGAGTTGGAGTCCTGTGTCAGACTTCTCTGTTGGGCTCTTTGCTGACAGTTCAGAGCCTGCGTGGGATTTTCCCTTTCCGTCTCTCTCTGCCCCTCCCCTGTACATGCACGCTCTGTCTCTCTCAAAATAAACATTTAAAAACAACAACAAATCCAGAGTGAGATATGTTGACTTCATTAGAACAATGTTTTTGTCAGTTGGATAATTGTCATGACGCTGTCATTTTATTATTATAAGATAGTCTGTTGCCATTATTCAAAAGATTATCTTAGTAAGTATTGAAATAGGGTAACTTGGGCTCAAGAAATGTAATAAAATCACAAAAATGTTTCACAATACCAAAAATGCTACTGTTGCTCCCAGATGTGGCACCTAGTGCATTGTGTGATCTGAAAAGTATGAAGAAAGCTTTAACTTGGTAGACTGTTACCAAAGAACTTCTGTAGGTTAGTTTTGGAAGTTACAGGAAAGGCAAAGATAGAACAGACAGTGTTTTGATCATTAAGGTGATCATAATAGAATAGAGCTGTCCCTGTGGTTTCTTAAACAGAAAAATTTCTGTGGTTTTTTTAAAAATAGTTTTCAAAGAAAACATTTTTATTCATTTTCATTTGTCCAGTTAACAAATAACTATTAAGTGCCTTTTAGCTTCTAAGTGTTTTCCGTTGTTGTAGAATACAAACACTCAAAAAACAGTCTCTACACTCCAGGAGTTTGTTATTATCACTGTCAATTTCATTATTTAGTCTATTTAGTGCTTACTAGGTGACAGAGTCTCATAGAGCTTATAATTATCATTGTTATTTTTTATTGGCATTTGTTCCAGTTACCGTAAGTTCACAGTGAGGGATTAGAGTTTTAAAAAACTGGGTAGAATCTAAGGTAAGCGTGCAGAGTGAGTAGTAAGTTTGCCAGGTAAAGAGGCAGAATGACTTTGTTTCGCAGGAGTAGCATCTATCACGATTACGTGTTTGGTGGAGTACACAGCAGTGCAAAGTCTAAGGGTGTATGAGTGAACTTTGCAGGATTTATGAGCAGTTGGGTGTTGCTGGTATAAAAAGTGTGCTATGGGAATGGTTGGGAATGAGGTGAATAACTAGGTAAGACAAGCTTATGGAAGTTTGTCAGTGCTATAGAAAGGAGTAGATCTTACCTGATAGGCCTTGGGAAGTTTCTTCGGTAGAATGCTTTTAGCGGCAAATAATAGGTGACTTCTAACAGTGACTAAAACAGTAGGAACCAGAAATGTTTTGATGGTTCAGTGATGTCATCAGGATCCCAGTCGTCTCTTGTTCAGTTTTGGAGTTGGTGGTATTTTTATTTCTCCTTTCCGGGGTGGCTAATTAGCAACAGCTCCAGGTATCATATTCTCACATGGCAACATCCAGTGGGAGGGAAGGACTGCTTTTCTTTATGTGTTTCTTTTAACTAGGAAGAGGCTTGCAGTAGACTTCCTCTAACATTTTAAAGACTAGGTTACATCACACACTCATTCCTAAACTGGTCCCTGGTAAATCAGGTACTGTGATTAGCTTAGAATAATCCTTTCTCTTTGAAGCCAGGGTGAGGCCACCTTCTTTGTGTATTGAGACAATAAATATCCAAATAAAGTTGTGATTCTCTAGCAAGAATGAAGAATATGGAATGGATCTTAGGGAGGGAGCCAGCAGTATTTGATGCAGGGGTTTTGGAGAATTTGAAGCAGAAGACTAATAAGATTAGATTTGAGTTAGGACACTCTGGTTATGGCATAAAATACAGATCACCAAGCCTTTTTCCTAAAAAGCCAGTGAATATTTTAGGTGATGTGGTTTCTCAGCTCTGCCCTTGTAGTGTGAAAGCAGCCATAGCAATATGTAAGTGAAGACATGGGACTATGCTCCAATAAAACATTATTTACAGAACCAGATGGCAGGTTGGATTTGGCCTGTGGCTGTAGTTTGCTGAACCCTCATATGGAGGATAGATTATAGGAAACCACATAAAGAGACTGGGAGGCAAAGGAAACTCTTGTTTTCTTAGCCTGGTATTAGTCCATTATGAAACTTTCAGCTGTCTATGTTGAAAACATCAGGGGGTTCAATTTATTCCATTAAAAAAATTTTTTTTTCTGGGCTTTGTGTCTTTCTCGTTTGTTTTGCTTAAAATTTTTTTTATTCATTTAAGAAATAACAGTAATATTTGGTGGCTTTTTTTTTTTTTTTTTTTTTTTTCCCTGTGAAAATCATCAGTTAAGAACTCATGTTTGACTAGGGCAGTGGCAGGGGAAAGATAAAGCAGAGACAGAAAGAGTATAGTTAATACGAATTTGTGATTCTTGAATATAAAAAGTTAGGGGGTGAGAGAGAACTATCAGAAGATTCAGAGGTTTCCAGGTTGTGCGCTAGCATTTAAATTGGACATGAAGAATGAGTAGGACTTTATCAGATGAACAGAGGAGAGCAGCAGGAATGAGGAAGACCAGTAATTTTCTGTATATGTTGAATTTGATGGAATATCCATGTAGGATATTCTCAGTAATTGGATAATTGAATAATAGGAGTTTCCAGTTGGAGATAGACCTTCAAGATTGGAGGTGCACATTTGAGATAATCTGCTTAGAATTGTTGGGCATAGTCATAGCTTGGATAAAGATTGAGCTTGTCCATGATGGAGAACATGTAGAATGAGAAGGCCAGTGAACAAGCCCTGGGAATACCAATTTAGAGAGGATGGATGGAAGAATGGCAGTTGGTAAAGAAGACTGAGGAGTGCTAGGGAAAAAGGCGAGGAATTAGAGGAAGTGATGTTGAAAAAATTTTTTAAAATTTCAAGGAGGAATATTTTTATCAAATTGCTACAAAGAAAGTTGGATTTAACTTTTAAAAGTTCTCTGGTGGTAATCTTTTCAAAAGAACAATTTTTGAGTTGTAAGGTCTTTTATTTATGTGATTGGTACTTTCTGTGGCCAAATATGGAAAAATAACATATCAACTAAGGTCCTATCTAACTTTTTGTAAATGCAACACCTACCCAGGCAGGGTCAAGGGAAAATGATCTAGCCTGGTGAGTATACTTGCCCAGCAATTTTCCATAATTGTCAAAACCTAGGAGTCAAGTGTGAGG